ACAAATAATTATAAAATCTTAAAAAAAAATGTACAAGAATGATGACTGCAATATAGCGAGAGAACCAGTTTGACAGAATAAAACATAACCCAAAGAGCATAGAAATCATAGATCTATGTTTGTGGCTCCCCTATATTCTATGTTCTTTGGGATAACGGAAGAGCTGACACGTTTGTGCGAAAAATAGTTTTTGGGCCGGAGTAAAAGAAGACTCTTGTTAAATTAATAAGAAAAACACTGAAAATCAGGATTTAATCGGTACAAATGAAATGTCGGGACACTTATACGTTCCGACTTAAAAAAAAAAATATTCAGCGCGACAATTGAATGGTCGCCACGAATAACGTTGTAAGCGCCAATTTACTCAAAACTAGTTTTTTCGCATATTACCGTTAAAACTACTCTCGCGTATTATACGTTCCAAAGTCAGTAGTGAGTAGAAAAACGTTTAAGTGCAGATGACCATGGCCAAGCCAATTTAGAATTAACAAGCGTAATGCAAAAGTGCAACAATGGCAAAAAACGTAAAGTAAATTTCGAAAATTGGAAAGATTTGAAAAATAAGAGGCTAAGAAATAGTGGGGAGGAATATTCAGGAAGAAATGGGAAAGTGGTATTAAAAAAATATTACCAGACACGGTAATGTGGAAAAACGTTGTAAGTGAATCAATTTTGTTTTTGTATTCAGCAGATTTTCAACTGCGCTTGTTCTCTTCAATGCTCAACCTTCAAATTGGAGACTATACAAAAGCATTTCTCCAATTTTTATAAAATGACCTATGATGAGCAATCAAAGACCTCTTATTACTATATTTATTACATTAATTTGTCGAAAAGCGTTGTAAGAGCCACCAGCAAAGATGCTACGCTTACTGGAAAAACGGTGTTATCATCAATTGGAATTTGGATATGAAACGTTTTTGCATCATTAAAATTTTATGGATAGATATATATTTTAATTTAAGGACAAGTTTCTTGGAGACTGCTGCAACGAAATGTCGCTTACGACAAAATATTTGTTGGTGTCGTAGGGAGCTGGAATACATTACTTCTTATTACTTCAAATGAGTCGTAACAGGACACAAATGGGATAGAAAAAAGATATTTTCTTGTTGGCCGACAAAAAAACATTTTGTCAACTTCGTTGTGGATTCAGCCATATATAAATTTTTTCATTCGCCCGTAATGAATATATGTACTTACATATAAACATATGAACGATTACGGCCGAAAATGAAACTCACGCTAAGGCCGCTTACTTTATTTTTAAAAACGAACAAAAAACACTTAAGTAATTAAATAAGTACCGTAAATATTGCGATCAAAATGCATACACAAAATCTTGTCATAAGTATTATTAATTGTTCAATGGCATTGTTAGAAATGTGGGATTAAAAATGTGAGCTAGAGCGGTATTCATATGCGTTGTTAACAAACAAGATTAATCGAGATGCGAGTTCAATGATATTCATTGCATACTAAAACATTATTACTGGATACATATTCATACATACATACATATGTATCTATAATGCACTACGTATATGAGCCATTCTTTTTTAAGTCGGACGGATTTCGTAAAAAGAATTATGTCATGTCTCCGATTCGTTTCAAATTTGTTTTTATCGGTTCTATACATGAAATAAGCTAGCACGTGTTCGAAAAATTGTTTTCCTCTTTTTCTTCTTCGGAGATATGATCTGTCAAAGTTTGCATTTTTTCGTGATTCTAACTAATCATGTACTTCTTCAAATCGTTATATCTCGGATTCTGCTCGTCGTAGAGACATCATCTTAACGTCATTTTAAAGCCAAAGAAGCGGGATTAACATTTCTACATATAAGATGGTCAAGGTTATACTAAAGCTAACTTAGCTATTAACAGTTGAAGTTTCTGAAGTAGATTTGCATAGTGAAGACCAGTAAATTAAGGATTTAAAATTATACCATCGTTATCCTTGTTTAATTCTCTATAAAAACTTGGTCTTGGTCGTTTTTCAAGAACTATTTTTTAAATATTTTTTCTTTATGACGAGATGGTTTATTTTGTGAAAATCACCAATTTTTTGTAATTGGTTTTCGAAAACTTATGTAGAGATATATTTAGTAAGGTGTTAAACATCGGATTTTCGCAAAAAATAAAATTTTATTGCGGATTCCTATAAAATACCTATCCAGATATAATATTTGAATGGAAAGATTTTTCTTTAATGCGAAAAACCGCTAGAAATGGGCGTGGCAATTGCAGGACTTAAGTTAGCAAAACGCAGATTTTATTGCGGATTTCGGCTGGATATCGCTTCGTTAACAATATTTGTTCCACAACTTTTTCAATACATATAGATATTCTGGTGAAATCCACAATCAAGTCTAAATTTTTGAACTTTGGTTTTAATGTAACCATGCCCATTTCTAGAATATTCTTTGATTGAAAAAGTTGTGGAACAAATATTGTTAACGAAGCGATATTCTACCGAAATCCGCAATAACTGCTAACTTTAGTCCTGCAGTTTCCACGCCCATTTCTCTACATTTTCTCGCCTTACAGAAAAATCTTGTCGTACAAATATAATACCTGGAATTCTTGCAAAAACCCGATGTTTAACACCTTGATAAATATATCTTGTCATAACTCTTCGTATACAATTTACAAAAATTTGTTGACTCACACAAAAAAAGCCTCTCGTCATAAAAAAAAATTATTTCAAAAATAGTTCTTGAAAAACGCCCATTTTTTTAAAACAGAGAATTAAACAAGGAATACGACGGTATAATTTTAAATTCCTAATTTACTGGTATTCACTATGCAAATCTATTTCAAAAAGTTCAAGTGATAATAGCTAAGTTAGCTTTGGATAACCTTGACCATCTTATATATAGAAATGTAAAGCCCATTTCTTTAGCTTTAAAATGACGTTAAGCTTTAAAACGACGTTATACGATGAGCAGAACCCGATATATGTATAAGGATTTTAAAAAGTATATGATTAGTCAGAATTAGAAAAAAAAAGAAAAAAAATTCCTCGAACACGTGTTACCTTTTTTCATGTATAGAACCCATAAAAAAGTTGAAGCCAATCGAAAGTGTGACACCAAATTTGGTGTCCGATATGAAATATGCCCCATATATAAACATAAGTGCTGTCTGTCTACATACATATGTAAGTATGAATATCACTGTCAAGTTTTGATGATTTGCCTACACGTGCAGATATGCACTCCGGTAAACACGTTAATTGCCACGAGTAGATAAATAATTAATTTAATTTTAAACCGGTTAGTCGTGCTTTTAATGCAGATTCTAAATAAAATGTATTTCAAGTTTACTTATTTTTTTTTTATTTAAACAATTAAATTTCTAGGAATATACGAGGCAAATAATTTAGTTCGATTAGTTCTTTACAAGGCGCACAACTTAAAGTTTCCTAGGAATTGATATGTTTGTCATATGTATAAAATCGTAAATTCGAAACTAAAACATATGTACACATTAAACATACATACCTCCCGCCTTATTTGAACAGGTAACCATATTTGTGTCATCAAAAGTGGGGATATTTTATTCACATGAATAGGTACACTGGACGTTAAAAAATCCCAGGGCACCAATGTATGTACATTAGAGTGGGCTAAAAAAAAGTAAAGTGGGAATTTTAATGCTCTCACACCCTAGGATTGTTCTATATCGAAAAAACGTACCCTTATTTTTTTATTTTGAAATCAAAAAAAATATTTAGAGGTCATTCACAGTTTTCCATGTATTTTTTTATGGGGGAAAATAGCTTTTTCTTAGAAATGGTATATAATTCTTGAAAATGAAGATCGGAAAACTCTGGTTTTCTGCAGGAGAGTTCCATTAAAAAAAAAAAACCAAAGGTTTATTCAATAATTTTTTAATACTAAAGATTTTTAATTGGTCCCCCATTGCATTTTTTGGGGTTTTTGACGGACCTATAAAATATAGTGACTATAAAAAAATGGTTAGATGTTGATACCTATTCAAATAATCCTGGCTTAAGACTAGTAAATGTATGATCAAGACATTTCAAGTTATCCAGTTTTTATGCGTCCAATGTAAGCTATATGTTTGTTTTCACATTTTAAAACCATGGTAAACTTATTTGTAGTTTTGAGCAGAGCCAAAATTCACTTTGAACTATCAACCTTCTTCTCCTTTTTCGTGATTGACGCTGTAACGCTTTAGCTACTTTGGCCGAGTACAATAAAGCACGCAATCCGTTTCTCTTCTGAGCCTACTGCCGCCAATTGGAAATACCAAGTGAAGCCATTGAATTATTCGTCACGTAAAATATGTCTGAGGTGTCATGTAATTTATTTTTCGTATGGTTTTTAATCTTACGATTCGGGCCAAGGTCTTTTTCCACCTGGTCTTTCCATCGCACACGAGGCGTTCCTATTCCTATGCCAGCAGCAGCAGCAGGATCCGCGTTGAATACTTTCACAGCTGAAACGTTGGTATACCTTCGTACTACCTGGCCGAGCCAGCGGATCCGCTGTATTTTAATCGCCCGCCCTGTGTCACTACTATTATTGCAAAGCTCATACGCGCATCGTTGCATCGTCTGCGGTGTTCGCCGTCTCCAAGATACAAAGGCCCGCAAATCTTCCGCACAATCAAGAACTATTAACTTACTAGTTAACAGAAAAAATTCTACCAATTTTGGTAGGAAAAGTTCAAACAAGTTTCTTGAGACAAGGACCCGCCCAGGTTCGATTCCAAGTCCTGCCCTGTCCTGCTCGGCAGCCATTGGCCAATGAACTTCAGCAATGAATGTCCATCTACCGTTCGAAGGCGGAGCTTAGGTATAGGTTCCTACATTTATGGGACAACATCAAGGCACACACAGCAAATTAGAGAAGGAGCTCTGAATCTATGCTAATTATACTTTCCTTCTTTTTTCGAGTGCTTTAAAAAAACTGGACCAACAACAATGAGGTTAAAATTGGGACAGAGGTACAAGCTCCAGAAATAAAAACTCGTTTTTTGTTTTTTAAGTTTTTAAATGTTTTTTTTTTTTTGTATTCTTTAAAATTCGTCCAAATACATAGAATAATGGGTGCGTACAGTCACAGCCGAAAAAAAAACGCTTCGGCTTGGAGGTTGTGCAGGGGTGAGGGAATAAATTAATTTAGCAACTACCGCCGCCGCCACCACCACCGCCTCCACCGCCACCACCACCACCACCGCCGCCGCCGCCACCGCCACCTCCACAGAGGCCACCACCACCGCCACCGCCGCCTCCTCCGCCTGGTAAGGGCTCAGGCATTGGGTATGGGAGGGCTGCAATGTACAAAAAGAAAGCAAAAATTATACATTCGAAATATTATTGCACGCAGTAATCTATATGTAAAAAATTATTTTATTTTTGCGTTTTTTTTTAAATATGCATTTATTGTTTTCTATAATTATAAGCTAATCGCAATCATCTCAACTCACCGCTTACGGCCACAAATAAGGCAAGCAAGAAGCTAACAAATGCAAAGATTCTCATTTCGCGACTGCTGTGTGTAATCGTATGCGTTAAGCTCACAAACGAATCTGCTATTTATACCGAAATTCTGATTAAAAATTCGATGTTAAATAAGTGCTGTTCTGGGGGATTGTCCGCGCTGACGCTCATAGCAGTCGAGCGCACACCGGTCTTTGTTCATGTGAATTTCGTTGCATTTGTTGTTATTGTAATTGACACTGACGGGGTTATATTTCGCTTTGCAATCATTTTCACTTTTTTTTCTGTTCCACTTTGCCGGCTTCGTTGTGTTTTGAGGTTTCCCTGATTGAAACAAATCAATCGCAAGCAATTGGCAGCAACCGAAGGAAAGTGCAGAAAAACAAAAACAAAATATTAATAATAATAAACAAATATTGCACTCAAGCATACATATAAAATCCGTAAACACTCGCTCATATTTTAATACTAACAATAGTATTTAATTATCATCTTCTCAATAATCAACGTGATTTCCATTACCGCAATCCATTTCTTAAAGTAATAGGTTCCCTGTAAAGATGACATCCGATTAAGACAAAACACGTCGCCCGATCACTATAAAAGACCTATGCAAATGCCAATGCCACAACACTGTAAAGAAACAGTCGCACTGGTCATACAGCTACCAACGCAATTAGATAGCTTATCAATCCAATACGTGCCTACCTGTCGACAATCATCATGAAAACTTTCACACTTTGCTTAATGGTTCTGCTTGGATGCCTCTTGATGTTCAGTCCAGTTTCGGCTCAATGGGGCGGGCGTGGTGGCCGTGGAGGCGATAGCAGCAGCGAGGAGAGCGGTGAGCGTGGTGGAAATGGCGGTGGTTGGTTCGGAGGTCGCGGTGGACGCGGAGGTGGTGGTTCACGTGGTGGATACGGTGGAGGTCGTGGTGGGGACTACGATTAGGTTGGCATTTCCCATCTACCGCAGTAGAAACAATACACTCGTAATAATGTAAAATACTATGTGAAATTACAAAATTGTTGGAACAAAAAGTAATAGTTTAGTTCGTATTTTTATTAATGGGCTTCTGTTGAAAATCGAGAAAATTGAGAAACCCTAATAAAACAAGAGGATTATCGTTGGCTGGAGGCTCTAGTGGAGGTACTGAGTATAGCTGATATACAAATAAGAGCTTCCAAAAATAGCGAAAACGACCTTCACATTTAGGTTAAGGTTTAGTAAAGTCGATGATTCCATATACATATACATATGCATATGTATGTACAAGTATAAGCCACCTTCGATTTGCTACTTCTATGCACTGTATGTGAAAGCAACAACAAAGTTATCCACTTGAATGCAACACAAGATAGTATGAGGATATCTAAGGCACATCAAATAGGTAGCAGCATTAGAGCAAATAAAACAGGCTACGTGTAGTGTATTTTGTTGGTTTGGTACTTAAAATTACAATTCATTGACCACTTCCATTGAAAAATATCAAAAATTGCAACCCTGCTGCTACTTATTCAATGTACCTTTGGAGGATACCTCATTAAAGCGGTCTAACTCTCTATGAGGTCTTCTCTGTATGCTCTCTATGAAGATATTAGACAAGTTATACTTTTTTGAATGGTTTACGTCAGTTGCTCGTTTGTTTCTCCACACTGGTAATGTCGGCGAATCGAAGACGGCTATACTCTCCGTTTTTCACAGTGGAACCAACGTTGTCTGATTCAAGATCGAAATTAATAGTTTTAACTATTGGATCCATCGAAGTCTCTCTTTTTTTAAACGAAATTTCGGTTGATGTTTTCTTTTATGGTGTGACGCAATTCATTTTACTGTTTTCAGCTTTATCTAGAAACATGTTCAGAAAAATAAGTCAATAATCCGTGCCAGTTGAACAAGAAAAGTTTGGACTGCGAATCTTTGTATTAAATATCTTGACTGGCAAGCATGTCTTTTGATGTATAAAGACTGCTTCTATTGGTTTTTATTTGAGTGTATTGAGAATCAGTCAGTCTGAAAAGTATTTTTCTAGTAGGATGTTCATGCGTACAGGCTGCAGATCTCCCAGTCATATAACCGGCGGATGTTTTGTAGGGTATGCTGTTTGTATGTATGTACATTAGGGTGCCCATCGAAAATGCTTTTTTTGGAAATATCAAGACCCAACCACCTAATTTTATTCGTATTTTATGAGAAATATTATTGCCTATTTTTATAGATTTTTTAAAGGAAATTTAGAGGTGGCGACTTGTCGATTTAGGTCAGAAAATACGACTTTTTATATATGCATGTGTTTTTGAATGACTATTTTGGATTCGATTTCTAAGATCGAATATGATCTGAGCAGAGGATATATAGGCCTTTAAAATAGTATATAACAATATATTCTCTTATTTTTTTTTTAATTTTGAGCATCGATAATTTCCACAATTTCAAAATATGTAGTACTATCTAAAATTAAATATATTTTTAAATAAACTGCTAGCTCATTTATTGCAATCGCATAAAAATTTTCGAAGTTAGGCGGCTTTTCCTAAATACGGCCTTAAATTTATATTGTTTATTTACCGTACTTTCAGATTTTTTGAGCAGTGTGGCTAAAGAATTCATGAATATTAATTCAAAATTGATATACAATTAGGTCCATTTTTATGCGATTTTTTTTGTGCGGATTTAAACCATTTTTTCGCTTTAGCGATTTTGCTTTTTTGAGAGTTTTTATGCATTTTTTTGAGTGTCTAAGAGACAATGCTTCTGATAAATAATAAGTCTTTGTATTTTATATAATTTATGTATTTATTGTGGTATTTTTATTTATTTTTTTGTTAAAATACAGATACAATTTGTTTATTTCATTAATGTTCAGTTTTACATGGAATAATAAGAATTGAAGTGAAGAAATAAATGGTTTTTTTGCTTAATATTGCCCCACTGGATTTTTGTATGCGGTTTTTTAGAATTCTTTACACGAGGTATCTGAATTTATGCGGTTTTTAAAAGTGCTGGAACGCATCCCCTGTTTTTGTATGAAAGTAAAGAACTTTTTTATGCGACTTTCTGAGGAACGCATGTACCGCATAAAAAGAGACCTAAGTGTATACCATCGCTCTTTAGCGAACAAGTGGTTTTTCAAGAAATTTTAGGAAATTGTGGTGGCACACATTGTGTTTACCCTCTTTAAGCTCCGTCTTAAATATTTTTGAAATCGGACAAAAACCACGGGGTCCACCAACGTAACAGTAATTTCAATCTAATCAAAAATAGTCATTCAAAAACAAATAAATCTACAAATTTTCGGACTTAAATCGGCAGGTCGCGACCTCTAAATTACCTTCAAAAAATCTATAAAAATATGAAATAATACATTAAATTATATAAAAAACGAATCAAATTAGGGTGTAGAGCCTTGAAATTTCCAAAAAAAAAAAGCATTTTCGATGCGCACCTTAATGTACATACATAGGCTGTCTTCTTAAACGCACTAATGCAAAGCATCAGTCTCTTTTATTTCTCAACCATAAGAGATAAAAGTATTGAATTTGCGCAACTTTATTGAAAATTGGTATTTCGTTATGGTTGCGCATATTGGATATTGATATGAGTCATACCTTAGAAATAAAAGAGACTGATGCTTTGCATTAATGCGTTTAAGAATAAAGCCATACATACACATGTACAAATGTATGTACAGGGTGGGCTAAATAAGGCCTACCAATGTTATTGTTTTTTCTGCATGTTATAGTTAATCTCTTTTAAAATCTTAATCAATACCCTGTAGGGAAAACACGAACTAGTGAACCAAATTTCTAGTTCAGTACTAGTTCTTTTTCGCCAAAAACGAACCAGTCCGATAGTAACTAGTCCCGCACCAGTCCAAAAGCAGTGAAATGTGGTACTTTCACTAAACTATTTTATTTCAAATTTTAAAAGCAGGGAAGGTAATCATTATGAGTAAAATAATTTAAATCAGCATTTAATCATTATTTTATGAATTATTATTGAGTTTTATTTTTTCGCTCAAACGGAAATAATTATTATTTGATTTTTATTTTTGGGATTACAAATAATGATTATTTTATGATTTTTATTTTTTCGCGCAGAGATTATCATTAATTTTGAGTTTTATTTTTCCACTTAAAAATAATGATAATTTATAAAATTGAAAAGGCCATACATACGCAACCTACTGAAATTTTGACCTTAAAAGTTTGGGTCTTATTCCTCTTATAAGGGTGCGGCTACCTCTCAAAAGGATACGTCGGTAATCACGCTGGTATAGTTTTTGAGTTGCTTAATAATCATTATACTTAGTGATTCCATAAACAAAGGCCAAGATCCTGAAGGACAATTGAGAAAGGCAATGCAGTTGCAGAAAAAGAGACATTTAAAAAAAAGGTGTCAAAATAATTATCACTTTCTCACTAAATTTATTTAAAAATACAAGCCACCACAGCTACCTTTTTTTTAAGAAAAGACAAATTAATTTTTTTTTTATGCAATCCAGCACAGCTACCTTAATACAGTCAGTCAATAAAGTTTAGGTACAACGAATTTTTTACAATACGGGCAACTATTTTTTAAATATTTTAGTTTTCGGTAATTTTTTATAAAAATATGGTCAATTCTACAACAAAATCCCCGAAAATCAGAATTCCAAACCTTGTGCAAAATTTAAGAAAATTCTGCAAAATTTCATTAAAATAATTCACTTTCTATTAACGCTCTCTAGAAAAAGTTTTTTAGCCTATTCCATTTTAGTATAATGAAGTGATCTATTATTTTTATTGGCCAAATAATAGAGAAATATAGAGAATAATAAACATAACAAAACTGTCAAAGCTAAACTTCAAAATGGGGGGGATTGCCAGATGAATGTACGTAACCAATAGTTATTCAAGACACGAACGATTATATCAGTATAGACACGAATTGACATGGCCACTATGAAAACGCCCACACTGACATACGATAAAACATACCACCAGACTAGAAAAATATATTTCTGTTTGGAATTGAACACGTAGCGAACCACACTAATCAGCCCTCGCAAGAACGGAATTACAACCAAGTAATTAAAGTGGATTAAAAGCTGGTATTAAAAGCGGGCGGCATTCGGCGAGTCGATACTCACCCCT